GCTAAATAGGTGTTTTAAGGGTTTGGATATGATCGTACATGAAGGGCCTTTGATTAAAGCTCCCATTGCTGGCATCAATGTTCGCGTCCAGGATGGAGCAACGCACGCAGTTGATTCTACTGAAATTGCCATGATCAACACTATGCAAAATATGATGCGTGAAGGTAAACAGTTTTGTTTCGCTTGTTCATTTTTTGTCTGATTATTTCAATTTCTTTTTGCACGAATGCCATAATTTAGTTACCAGTTGTTACTGTTTTCATAATTTTTCCTACAGCGTTCGAAAAAGCTGAATGGATGCTTCTTGAGCCCATCATGTCAGTCGAAGTTACGACTCCATCTGAGTTTCAGGTGAGGTTTCTTCCCATTGCTCTTGTTTGAAGGAGGATTCCACAATAGGGTCGAAGGTCGAAGAAGAGAAATATACCTCACCAGTTGGCGCCGCACGCATTGCGCGCGCAACACAGATCTGCGGCGATATGGATGGTGCGGCGTAAATTCTTCAATTTGGCCCGATACACTACGAATATTTGACTTCTGAGCTAGGTTCTATCCGCTCCATAATTAATAGCTCTTAACCTCTCCTTCTATATTATCCGCTTTTTCCCGGTCTCCGGACTGCCTCTAGACCGATTTATAAATCTCGTCATGAACTCAGCCTATTTCGGTGCATGTCTCACCCATCTTTTTCTTCCTTGCTAATAGCTTCCGTTTTCCCCGGTCTCTGAACTGACCCTGAGCAATCTATATGCTTGGCGGCCGCGGCCACTTTAGTGCATCCAACCACAAATAAAAATTGACTTCCCTCCCTTTGCCGGCCTCCATCTACTTTATTCCCAGTTCCTAGAGCTTCGTGGAACCACTTTATAGGTCTGGCAACAAACCCAGCCCACTTAGGTCATACCCCGCTCACCGATGAAGATTGAATTCTCTCCCTTCGCTGGCTTCTATCCACCTTTTTTCGGTTTCCGGACTATCTCTGAACCGACTTTTAGTTTTGCAGCCGAGCTCCGCTCACTTTAGTCATGCTCCGCCTACCAAGACAGTTGACCTCCACTCCTCCACCCACCTCTATCCACTTTTTCCCGGTCTCCGGGACTTCTTGGAACCGAGTTATGAATTTTCGTCGCAAACTCCGCCCACTTTGGTCATGCCCCGCCCACCATGACAGTTGGCCTCCACTCCTCCACCCACCTCTATCCACCTTTTTCCGGCTCTTAAGACTTCTCCGGCCCGAATTATGAGGACTTGTAGAAAATGCTGTACACTTCAGAGCGCGCTCCGCCCATTGTGGGCGGGCCTCCGCCCACGTCATGTATGCTGGAAACACCTTAGACATTGCTCCCTACACCATTTTGTTTTCCTCTCTCTATGCTCTCCACGCCCTCTGTGCGGCGGGGCTCCGCTTAGCTGATGTGTGTTTTGTACTTACGTGAGACCTTGCCCACCCTTTCCACCTCCCCTCCAGGCGGATCCCGAGGAGCTAGGGAATTTCGTGACAGACATACAGACAGACAGACAGACAGACAGACGAAGCGCTTTATAGTAAGTAGGATGGAAAGGCAGGGGGCCCTGAGGGGGGGGGGGTCGACGGACTACTTGAACTCAGCCCTTAAACCGCCTCTGCGCTCTCTCGCGGGTCCCTCTCCTCTCCAAGGCTTAGTCCTAGGGCATTCACCCGTCTGTGCTCTAGCCATCGCGGCAGGACCATTGAGGAAAAATCAAGTAGTCCGTAAACCCTGAGGGGGGGGGGGAGGAAGAGACGATGCGGGCTCCTCAGCTAAAGACATGCCGCAAGTAGGTTAGCAGGGCTATACCCGCGCTGCTCCCCCGCAATCTCCTCGCTCGTTGTCTCTAGCCGCTTTAACAGATAGAGCGTTAGAGTTAATGAGGTCAGCAGCGCCGAGTCACGACTTATGCTTATGACAAACCAATGTGCAAAAAAGGAGCACATTTCTTGGGTTCTAAGCAGTTGTTCTTGGGTTTTGTTTCTTCATCCCTGCAGCGTTGACCACCTTTGTCTCGATTTTTAGTGGGTGGTCTTTTGTCGTAAACTCCATCGTATAAGGCGACCATCAAGGATTTTTTGCTTTTCGCTGTAACAGCTTGTTCCAGTACCAGTTTCTATGATGCCGGCCGTACCTCATTCAGGGTAATGTAACCACATCGCTCACACAACGGAATGCTATGATCACGTCCACCTCTACAACAGAAGGATACACTACAATAGATTGCGAAGTGAGCGTGTCTGTATCTTCATCTTTTTTAGCGCTAAGCTTTCTCAGAGTTGAGAGTAAAATCTTTCAGTGCCCTTTGTCCGACATGTTTGGATATACCTCTTTGTTACGCTCGTTAACAGAAGGGAAGGGAGAGTTCACCATGGAGTATTCGAGGTGGGTTAACTTTCATCAGTACGAAATGGTAGCGCTTTATTGGCATATTTTTAGTGCATAATATTTGTTAAGGTATGCTCCAACTACACAAGAAGCTCAGGATAGTGTCGTTCGTGAATGGCAAATCACCCATGGTATTAATAGATCCCAATGCTGAAAAGGCTAAAAAGAAGAGAAGGTAGTTGAGCATCAAATGGATGCATTCTGTCTCTCCTCGAATGTAATGCTTTTAATTCGGCTGCTATTCGTTGTTATGTAGAGTTAGGACATTTTATTGATAGATTTGTAGATCTTGTTGAACTTTGTTATTGTTATCGTCTAGAATTATTCAGTACTAGTCCGGAAATCGCTCAGCCAGGATTGGTTCTCAACTCGTTTGAAATTAATTGTATATATGAATAGAGTACTACGAAAAAGAATGAAGATTCCTTTAAAAATTGCTGTTTACAAGATATTCTTGATAGTTCATAGTGGATTCAAAAAGGTGTCAAAAGATCATGATTCATATTCTGAAATGCTTCGTAGGAGTGAAGAAATGTAATGTGTCGGTGGTATTTTTGTGGTATGCGCCATGCTTTCTACTTTCACTTCGAATCGTGGTCTCACTTGAATGCCACTTGACCCTGTACGCTAACTTGTGGAGGCTACTGGTGTGTAAAATCAGTGTTAATTGTACCTCCAGCTGACTAGTACCAATCAAACACCAGCAATGGAAGGCTTTGTTGGTTTGCAATTAAGGTGTTGATGGTAAGTAGTTTGAGCCGAATGGGCTTCACCACGGTCTTATTCATGGAAGTGAAGCCATCTGCTGCAACATTATTCTTGTGAAACGAAATGATGAATTGCGTGGGTTGATTTGTTCGTTCCCTCATATATACAGGGGAGAGGGTGGCAAAATCTTTGTTCATAACGGGTAACCAGAATACTCATGCTATAGAAGATGAAGATGGGGGGGGGTCAAGCTAAATATTCCTGAAATGTCCCTCGATCAGCAGAAGCAAGACCGTATCCTTTGCTTTCACCGTCTCTGAATTTAAGTAATTCACCATTGCTAATGAGCTCAAGGGAATTAACCATATGTGGGATTTCACGATAAAGTCGCAAAACGGAAAACTTTCCCAGTGGAAAAACAGGCGGACGCCCTGAGGAAGCGGAGCGGCTCGCAATCCTTAGCGAAGCATGGCGTTTCCCGCGGCGCTATCGGCGCGGTACGCCCACCGACTGGGTGACCACTCGTGTCTCTAGCAACTACGGAGAAGGAGAGAGCGTGTGTTAGCTTGAAGAGGGGAGCACCCGGAAATCAACAAGCAAGGAAGAGGGACCGTTGTGGGTTCTGGACCGTTTCCCACGATTTTTTCGTCGATTTTCACCTCACCTAGATCTCGGCACGATTGATCATCTCTGTCTATTTTGAAAGCTGCCATCCAATCTTCCAACTTTTAATTGTTCCTTCGTGAACCTTCTCTGCAATTTGCTCCATGGCGAGCAAATTCGAAGAGAACATAGTGCGAAAGAGTAGAGGGTTCTTATGGAGTTATTTGATAGTTCAGAAGCGTTCTGTCCAATTCGCAGTTGGAAAAAACAATTAGACCTTTGATGTAGGAAAAGCGACCTTTTTGCCACTTCTAGAACCGTCAATGTGGCCCTCTCTGGTCGCCGTTCATGACCATAGTGACCCTGCAAGCTCAAGCTTTGCCACTTCAAAATTGGCCCACGCACCCCTACCGCCGGAGTTGCCTTTATTACCCAGCTCAACATTCGTCCCCCTTCTAACTCAAGTGGTAACAGCCTGGATTGACCCCATGTAGTTTCAAATAAGATCCTGTTGATGGGAACAACATGCAGTACCGTACGGCGTATCCGCTAATCACACAAAACCCTATTGTGACCACTCTGAAACTGATGATGTAGCAGCTAGATGAACAGTCATTTGAGCCATTCATTTATGTGAATCTACAAAAATTACAAAAAATGCACAAAATACAAAAGCCTTCGCGAACACAGGAAGAGTCGACGAAAAATATCAGAAGAAAAAAACAAAAAAAAGTTAAAAAGTACAAAAGTCAATGGTTCTGCTAACCCGATGTTGGATAGTGAGGTCAGGAATGTGAGGAAATAGGCCTATGCTTTCAATCGGATGGCATCCAGTGGCAATTGATCTAAACGTCTAGACAGCTATGCACACTACAACAATCGAACTGTGCCCTGTTCTACTTGCTGCTGGACGGACTGAAACGGTAGCAGATGAACAGTTCCCTTCTCCAGTTCGACAACAACCTCAGCAGTCTTGTCCTGGTAGTCAGGTACGATTGCGGACTCAGCATTATCCTCCAGCACTTCTGCATATACCTAAATCGGAAGAGTACAACAATTGTTTTCAGTTACTGGTTCATTTTTTTCATTTCCTTCTTAACTGGTCCCACTAAGCAACTTTAAAGAGCAAAACAATCTCAAGGGAAAGACTTAGGGCACCATCGGTGGGTAAGAGCGCTCAAGAATGAAGTTGGAAGTACAGGGTCGGCCTAAATCGGAAAAGAAAGCAAGAGAAACCAACGAGAACACTTGAACTAAGAACCTCAACTTTCTGTAAGGATGAGTGTGGTACGACGTAGATTCAGAGCGAGCAGAGAAGACGGAAAACGCGAGGGGCACACCGTCTGTGGAGGCACAGGTGAGCGACCGTACGGCTGCCTCGCAAACTATGGCCGGTGAGATTTGTTGAGATTCTAGCGCACATATCGCGATCTTTCAAACCATGTCAACGACAGAGCATGACGTTCGCAAGCAGCTCTTATTTTATCTACCGAAGAATATACTTCAGTATTCTTAGCCTGGGGTTGCCTGCAATTCGCATAAGATCATGAATGGACATAAATTAATAATTCTGAGCCACCTATCCTCACCGTACCGTCCCTGATCACATGCAAGAAAAGTTGAAAAAGCAGCCTCGATAAGATAATACAACTAACCCTCTCACATTCGAGATCTGAGACAGGAACAGGAATTTTGTGAAAAGAAGGCTGCAAGCGACCTGAAAATCAAATTTCTATCAGAGCTTAAATCAGGTTCACAAAGGAGGCGGAGTTCCTTACTAAGGCATGTTTTTCCCATAAGCTGAGCTTCAATCTTCGCGTATCTCTCAGCAAACTTCTTTTCCTGATCAGACAAAAGAGCTGACTTTCCTGAAACCAAGAATACAGTTTAAAAAATGCTTGATCGAATCGAAACGAATTGTAAAAAGTTAAACCAAAGAAAACAATGATGCACAA